GTTCTTCCAGATAAGCCAACCCCACCTCAGGGGCCTGTCGACATTATGGAAAGTGCTGTAACATCTGTCGAATTTAAATGGAAGCCACCAAAGGACAACGGGGGCTGTCCCATCATAAGCTACATGATTGAGCGTCAACAAATAGGACGCAATAAATGGACTAATCTGGGCGAGTTTCCTGGCGACAATCCAAGTTACAAGGATTCTGACGTGGATCCAGGAAGGAGGTATTGTTACCGTATCCGAGCCAAGAACGCAGAAGGCATAAGTGATTACCTGCAGACGGAGGACATAGCAGCTGGTGTTCTACGTGAGTAATTAAGTTAATGTGTCTAATTAGCTGTGTTTGTATTGCAATGCTTAATTTAGCAACCAACAGTCATATTTATAGCAAAAACATTGGATGCAAATTAAACTGTAATCAGGATAAATATTGAAAGTAAAAGTGTCACGTTTTGTGCTAGTCCCAAGCCAAGTTAAATAGAGCTAAAAGGTTCACCAAGAAGGCCACCTGAAGCCAAATAAATGCAAAATTTAACATATTTAGGAGTAGGCCTGTCACAGTAACAGATTTTGAAGATCTATATATATTGCTGAAGTAAATATAGATGATAATTGATAATATCGAAACCAAAACCTAAAGCAGAATTATCCCAAAAATGATTATAAATGTATAATATTGTTAAAAAAAATTACTTGCAATAAATAAATAGCAGGATGCAGCACAAGTAATTAGTGTGGATCTATAATATGTTTATCATAGAAACTTCTACAGCTCAAATCTCACCATATTGCAAAAAAAAAAAAAAATGTCTCACTTGCACCACCAAAAATGACCATCTGTTCCATCTGTCATGTATTGAATGATAACAGGATATAGTATTTATTATTTATTTATTTATTTACCCAAAAAAGACAAGAAAATTTAGCTACATTTTGTAATAGTATCCTAAATATAAAATGCAGATCAGTATAACCAAATTGTGAATCTTAAGCTTAAGGAAAGGTAAAATGATGAAGGATATGCAAAAGTCTTACTTGTAACAGAAAATAACGTTCAAATAATATAAAAGATCATAAGTTACACATCTAAATCGAATGTGCATAGTGCATAGTAAGTACTGTACTTTCTCATCAGCAAGTACAAAATTCTGCAATAAATACTGTATGTTGCTAATATTCTTGTTGCTATAGGTTACCCTGGTGCACCATCAGCGCCTAAAGTGGTCAGTGCTTTTAAACTGCATTAATCTAACCTGGTGTCCTCCTTGTGACACTGGAGGAACCAAAATAGTGGGATACAATCTGGAAAAGAAAAAGAAGGGCACCAACTACTGGAGCCTTGTGAACCAGGGAGGGCCAATTACAGGTACATTTAAAAAAAGACAATGAAAGTCAAAGTGTATGATCATTGTAATACATTATTGTTTTAATAGATACAAAGTTCTCAGTCAAAGATGTCATCGAGGGAGCTGCATATGAATTTAGGGTCTCTGCCATCAACCTGTCTGGGCCTGGAGATCCAAGTATCCCATGTGAGACAGTGTACGCAAGAGACCCTATGAGTAAGTTCAAAGGTGCTTTATGTAACTTTTCTGGCAGAGGGTGTGCCACCTGCTTCTCTCCATGGAGATTACTTAGCCTTGAATATTCGATAGCATGGCATTGCACTTATACAGTTCCAATGACACAAACAAGTGACACCACCAGGCAAAGTTACAGGTAAGATCTATGAAGAGGCAAGTCCGGTCAAAGCAAAAATGCATGTTTGTCAGGGTAGTTTTGGCAATAAAAACACTAGTACTCTAATGAATGCATGATATATAAGTTTACTGCGGAAGACAAGCAAAGTAAAAACACTGAATCATGCAGGTGGTAGCTCTCCACTAGAAAATTTACACGAAGCACCTTTAAGTTTAAATATGTCTTCTCAATGCATGAAAATAACCAGTTCTTTATTTTTATTTCAGAACCACCAGGCAAAGTAACCGACCTAAAACTAACCTCGTCCAGCTACACAACCTTCTCTCTGGCCTGGACCAAACCAAAAGAAATCAAAGAGGTGCAAGATGAAGCCTTGGGGTATTATGTGGAAATCAGACCAATAGAAAGCCTTGACTGGACCCGATGTAATAGCACCCCAATTACTCTAACTTCTTACACAGTGCTTGGCTTGAAGGCAATGGCCTCATACTGGATCAGAGTAATTGCCACTAATTATGGAGGTGATGGAGAACCTCAGGGCTTCGACAACTACTTCATTGCCATGCCACCTGCTGGTAAAGAGACACTACAATCTGACCCAAAACATCTGCAAACCATCACAAGGACATTTCAACACATATTCAAGTTTTAACCAGTTTCACACAAACACAAACTCAGAAGAAAAACTATCACCAATGTGCTTTTACGTTTTTTTCACAGTAAGACCAAAGTTCACTGACCGTAACATGAAGACTTTTATGGTGGTGCGACTTGGATATACTGTCCGGCTCAACATCGGCTTTGAGGTACTTACCCTGTATAAAATATACAGTAAACTGAAAAATATATAAACATTCAGAGTACTGTTTTTTTTTGTATACCAGGCCTCTCCTCTGCCAGAGATCACCTGGCTCAAAGATGGCCTGCCACTGGGTAAACATGTGACTGTTACAAACTCAGACAAAGGCTCTCAGCTGCTGATTCCAACCTCAGAGCGGACAGACTCTGGCATCTACACGATCACCGTCAGGAACATAGTGGGACAGGAAAGCATCAATGTGGAAGTTCGAGTAACAGGTCAGTAGCTCATTAAAATGGCACTGTATGCTAGTAACACTATTATGAATACTGGAATAAACTGAACACAATCTTTACTTTCGAAACAGAAAGAGCAATTCAAAATGACAGGCCTACAACTCTTTCTAGTACTGTATAAAAATGTCAGTGCAAACTTTCTCAAAAAAGAGTTTGTGGTTTAGTGTGGTTTAGTGGTCTAGTGCGGTTTATATATATATATATATATATATATATATATATATATATATATATATATATATATATATATATATATATATATATATATATATATACACACACATATATATTTATATATATAATTCAATTCAACAAATATCTCTCTGGTTCCTAGACGAGCCAAAGCCTCCAGATGCAGTGGAGCTGGTTCAGAACACCCCCGGCACTGTGACCCTGTGCTGGACTCCCTCTCCGGACGAGAAGAGAGATGACCGACTGCACTACATGATATCCAAGAGAGACTCGTTCAAACGCACATGGAGGACTGAGGCTGACAACCTCTACAACAACAGGTTCACAGTGATCAACATTCTACCTGGAAGAGAGTACAACTTCAGGGTGTTTGCAAAAAATGACATGGGACTTTCAATGCCCTGTAAAGCCCCGCCATTTCAGACCAAAAAAGAAAAAGGTTAGTATAAAAAATGTAAATGTTTATTAAGTAATACTAGCCTACTATCCATATTTGGTGAAAAAAGCTTATACATAACACTATAACATTAAATTCAGATTGACTGTATTTATTAGTAAGAAAGTGAATCAAGTAGGTCTGTGTGTTTTAATGTAATTGTTTTTTTTACTTGCCTTAAAACATTCTCAAATTGAAACTGGAATTATATTTTAACTATTGCATGACAGATCCAGGTCTTTTCCTCATCTTCCAGTACAATGTGAATAGTATGTGTAGATATTTGTATTGGGAACTATTTAGATTGTTTCACAGTACTTCAAGTTTCATATTTTTTCTGACCAACAGAGAAGCTGACAGTGAAAATGCCAGAGCCAGTACCTCTGGATCTTCAGTGTCCCCCCTCGATCATTGTCCCGTTAAAGATGCGCACAGCTCCACAGGGATACGAGTGCTGCATGAGCTGTGCAGTAAAGGGAAACCCCACTCCAAGAGTGACCTGGTACAGGAACAATGTGAACCTCAACACCAACACAAACTACCACATCACCAACGTATGTGGGGTCTGCTCTCTGCTCATCCTAAGGGTGGGGGACAAGGACTGCGGGGAGTACAAAGTGGTCTTGGAGAACAAACTAGGGGTGGCTGAGAGTGCCATGACACTGAACATCAGAGGTATAGTGATGCGGTTTAATGTTTAAGTTTTGAAAGTCTCATTTTCTGTATACAAACATAATTAAAATGTGTTTCTTTACAGAATGAGAAGATGAATAGACAATGCAGAGGATGTGTAACAAGAAAAAATACTATGGACTTTCAAAGCAAAAACACAAAAGTAAAATGTGTATGTGGTCCCCTGTGGGTCTGCTTTATGTTAATCCACGTACAAATCTGTCCAGACAGCACCTAAAAAATAAATGCAATCCACATCTACTGCCAGTAGATGGCGCCTTTCTACCCATACAAGCTCACAGTACACAGATAACATGAGTATGGGGGTAGCTAATCTTGGGTAGACTGAATAAAGTTCACAGCAATGTTGACAATGCCATATTCTATAACTATAAGATAAAATATTTATCTTTTAGGCAGAAACCAACTACATGGTGGCAAGAAGTGGGCTTTTTTACCTCTATATAGTAGAGAACATATTTTTTCTCTTTTGATAAAGGAAATAATATCATTAGCTTTAACACAATGCCTTTTGAGAGCCCCGATAAACAATGCTGGTGTCAAATCCATGTGTCCACAAACACACACATACAAACATTTGAGTTTCTATGCTTTTTGGGGACATTACATACACTTCCTGAACACTGATCCAAACCTTAACCATAATGGATACCTGCCAAAACATAATCTATATCCTAACCTAAACCTACATTGTCCCATACTGTGCCTTTAATCCAAGTACTAACTTCCCATGTACTGACTGTATACAGAATTCAGCTCCTACAATGCAATGAATATCTGCACACAGACAGAGACACACACACTGCATCTATGGCCCGCCTCCTCTCTCTTTCCCCTCAGCCCCTCTCAGTCCTGCTGGGTTCACTCTCATCTGATGCACATGGACATCACCTCTCAGGATACAGCTGGATTACACTCATGTCCACTGAAGCCAGCAATTTAATCTTCAACTTTTTACACCACCTTATGTGAGAAAAGGACGACAGTTTAGACCAGCAGTTTGGGAACAATGTCAACAGTTCTATCTAACAATAAAGAAGAGACGGGAGTGAGAAAAACGCTGTTAGGCGCTTCTTCAGCTTCTGCCACTGCCACTTCTAACAGCCTGAGGGTAAGGGCCTGTCTCACCACCCCAACATTCAAGACAAATTACCCATAGTATGCTGTTTTACAAGATTGTGTGGATTTTTTCAACTCAAAACATATGACACTGTGACATCATATTTCATATGAGAATCTTCTAGAGTTAGAGTGGACAATATAATAACGTTTTCATAGTTGTTTTTACTTCTTATGTCAAAGGGGACTCTTGTGCAGCAAAAGCCCAAAGTAATACAAATGTTATTGTAACTCAAGTTAGGAAGCAGTGATAGTTCTTATGTTTCTTTTCCTTAGGGACATTTTTTACATTACTTACTATTTTAAAATATGGAGTCACCCCAGTAATGGTTTTCCAGTAGTGCAGGATGTTTCACATAGTAGTGCTGGTAGCCAGTGGAGTGATATTAAAGTAGTAAAGTTTGCAGTCTCTACCTAATATTGGTAGTTGCAAAACTAATAGTAACTCTACACATGTACACTTCTTGCACATGTGGTCGTTGCGTCATGATGTTAACAATTACTTGATTTTTATCTAAAAGTAAATACCGTAAAATCAGATACTAAATTGTAGTGAAAGGAAAACAAACTTGAACAGGATTTAAAGAATGCAGGCTGTATTAGGTGCATAATCCCCTGTTTATATGAAGTACGGTCCAGGAGAATTGGACAGGAAGTGAGGATGAGGAGAGAAAGAGAGATAGGATGACACCACGAGGAAGGGGGCAGAGCTCTGTGTGGGAACTAAGACTTTGTATTTATGGATGTTTATCTTTTTGTGAGTCCTGGGGGAAACTCACATTTTCCACTTGAGAATATCTGGTCAACAGACTCCAAGTTCCTCAGGAGACCAGGGACAGCTGAGTGACGCTCATAATAGTACATGGGGCCAAATGAACGGAGTGCATCCAACTGTTTATATGTGACGTCTTCAACTATGGTATTGCGCTTGCCAAATCCAAACAGTGCAGTCATTAATATACATTCAGTCAGGGTTTCCAAGTATCCAGAGACAGGCCAGAGGAAGTTGACATCAGAGAGGTACAAAACTAGAGGGACGTAGATTTCAACAAAGAAGGAACACAACTATTTACAAGTTCACAATTCATATTTGTCATTGTGGCGTTTCCATGTATTGATGATCATTTCTATCTATAATTCACCATAAATGTATTTATGTGGAAGGAGGAAGAAGGATGAGCAAATTATGATTTTGACACATAAAAAATAAATAAGATAGCTAGATAGTTGGCTTGATGGTTGGTACAAATAATTAGAATAAGTTGCGAACTGACAATTTAACTTCTTTCAATAAAGACACATGGTAAACTTCGATCATTTTATTACTCCAACTGAATAACAATGTCTACAATTGATTAATCTGACAGCAGTCCATATGACATTACATAGATTGGTTTAAATTCTACACACTTCTCATTGAAAAGCAATGAGAATCCTTCAGACTAAATTGTTTTAACTTCTTTGATGGATTGCATTGCTTTTTACTTTGCTCTTGATCTCGAGAGTGAAAGCACTGCATAGCTTGTCCAACTTCAGCAGGCAATAATGGACAAAATCTACAGCTGCCGCCAGAGCTATGACCTTATTTGGATGCGTTGAGCTATCTGCACTTGTCTGTGTATTTAAAGGATCAGTTCATCTCCCTGTCTTTAACTTGGCTTGGTATTTCAGACTACAATAAGTTTGCTAAAAGAAAACTGAAAAATGATTTGTCGTGTGAGATTTCTCCTTGATACACTTTAGACTTTTATTTAGAGTTATTTTAAGACAAAAAAATTTAATCCTCAACTTGATCCATCACAATTTTTGATAATTTAATAACTGCCTTTTGCTATAAACATAGTCAGATTTCTTCCTTCGAAGTCAGATTTCTGCTCCAAATCAGCTGCCTTTACTGACAAAGGTATATGTATATATTTAACAAATGTTTACCGTGTTAATTTGACAAGAACTCTCATATACTATCACATACTATCATAACATAATCTGCCAATCTTAAGTCTATATACTAGATTAGTAAAAGGCTTTATAATACTTTTGTTATGTATATCCTATTTCTACAAGTAAGTGACACCATTAGACGTGTTTAATTAGACTGGTTATTATGCTAGTTCCATCCTATTACAATACTATTACTGTGCTGTAATATAAACTTATTGTTTATATAACAATAAACTTATGTGTGCTTTTTTCTTTTACAGAATGATAAACTCTCACGGTAAGTTGTTTTATCAATCCAATAATTTACATTAGACTAGATTTTGGTAGTTTCACATTGGTCAGATGGTTTGCATTTTCAGGTTGAACTCCGCAAGAACCAGTAATGCACCCAGTGCATCCAGTGACACAGGTGTGAACCACGCTGAGTCGTACTTCTTAAGAAGAGAGCACAGACTGTCAGCACGGAGGAAAGCAGAGGAAGAGGCTGCCATAAATGACTACAAAAAGGTCTGATACAAAAAAAAGCTGAATTTGAATGCTTACTAGTTGCACAACCACCTTAAATCATAAAAAAAAATAAAAATAAATTATAATCATATAGTGTTAAAGCAGCTACACAGTACTGAAACTTTAACTTAAATTTCCCAAGCACATTCAATAACTTCCCTCTTTTTAGAGTTATTTCTCATTTAATTTTCTAACTGTAACAGAATTAAGCTTATTTGTAAAACATAGACCATATATGACAATGTATATACTATATATTTAATGACTCACTGTGTGTGGGATACAGATGTATGAGAAAGCACTGGCCACCAATCAGAGGCTCAAATCCAGACTGGAGACGAGTAAACAGGAACTGACTGTGATCCAGGACCAGCTGCAGAGAGCACAGGTAAACTCAGGGAACAAACATAAAAAGTCAAAATATCTCCACACAAATATCAGTAAAGCACCATCAGAAATGTAATATGAAAAGCTAGAGCAATAAGCCTCTACTGATCTCCCCCTGTGCTAAATTATACAGTATTGATACTTATTTTTGGATGACAGTGACATGTGACCATGAGAAAAGTTTGTGGTAACACAATAAAACCCTTCCACTGTTGCAGAAAGGGCGACCAGGAGCTTGTGGATCCAACATGCTAGAAACTGAGAAAAAGGTATAAACTCACCATTAATATGTTCTGAAATTGAAAATCTTTATACTTATGTTCTTTTCTTCATCAAAGGAAAGTTGGGCCCTGAAAAAGAGAATATCAGATATAGAGGAACAATTAAAGGTAAGAAATCATGGATAATATAACAATAACAAGTTGGGCTAGACTCCCTGCAGAATGTGACTGCTGTGCCTGGCTCCTATTTTTCTCCATTGTTTTCTGTTTACACTTAACTTTCCCTTTTGTCCAAGAGCATGCAACAAAAACCTGTTGTTCATCTGTGAATGAGCCACACTGTATCTTGTGCCCAGTCAAAATAACAGCACATGTACTGTACGGGTTTGCTTAAAAAAAAAAAAAAGTATATTGTCACAAATTGAGTTAAGTCTACATCATTAGACACTAGACTGACAGAAGCATGGTAAATATTAAGAACAAAAAGTGTATACACCGCATATCAACTATTTTATAGTCATTCTACACAACACAAATGTAAAACACACCAAAGAACTAATACACATGCCAAAGTGAAGAGGGTAATTGATAATGGTTGGAGTTGGTGCTTTTCTGCTCAGGTGAAAGCAGACCTGAAGATGGAGAACCAGAGACTGAAGGATGAGAACGGGGCCCTCATCAGAGTCATCACCAAACTGTCCAAATAAGACTAATTGTACCATACCATCTGAGATATTTAAAACTATGCTATTTATTCTGTACATAGCTAAAGTACTGAAACACCAAAGGTGCATTAGGCCCAGCTAGAAGAGGCCTGCATGCCATAGAATATTTTCTTTGTCACTTGTTGATATATTTATGATTTTTATTCAAATCAATTTGTCGAATAAAGACAACACTGTCACTTACCACAAACGTTGCAATTTGCTCTTAAATAAGAGTACCACAACTGAGGCTGTATCATCCACGTGACCTTAGTGGCTCTACACTTCCTGCACGTTAAAACTGTCGAGGCTATTATAGCCTAAAGCTAATGCACACATAATTGGTTGCAATCAGATTTTATCAGATGACTTCTGCTTTTCCATTTCTGCAAAAGCATGGGCGTCATCTCCAAACCTTTGAGCGTGCATGGATCCTTCCCATCCTGTGCAAGCTGCCACCTAGTGGTTAAAGATGTCTACATAGCAGCAAAGAGATATTTAAATAATAAACAGTTTATTTTTAACGATGGTGATTACATTTAAACAACACATAAATGTCCTAATGTCCTTGAGTTATCTACTGTACATTTAGTTTTGGTCTTTTTTTTTTTTTTGCTAGAAAACATAGATTTACTTTGTGTTGAAATAAATCATGCAATTCACAAAAGGCACAAATATTAACACATTTCTACAAGACAAAACAAGAACATTTATGGGTGAGTCAACAATAACATGATTTATAAACACTGAGAGCACACGGACAGTGGGGTTTATGGTGACACAGACTTGGCAGTATTGCAGTGAGGGAGCTCTGATTGGGTCTGTTCTGCAATTCAAAGAACAGTACCCTGGAAGACTGGGATTTTGTTGTCTACATTGACTGTTGTCCCCTTCACTGAACAGAGGTCTGCAATTAATTGGAATTGACATTCAATTACCAATTAACACTACAAACCCTAATGGTAATATCCATTAGGGCAGTTTACTGTCACACTAGACTAGTTACTAGTAACCAGTTTTTTTTATAGTTAAACTTCAAATGACTATTTTACGAATACCACTGAGGGTCATCAAACATCAAAACTACTTTGATGCTATTATGTGTCATATGAATTATGAAGGTAATACATTTCTCAAATTTAGCCATGTCCTATTACAGAATACAACTTCAGAGATCAGTTGAGACAATGAGGAAAAAAAAAAAGAAAAAGCTACCACAAGTTATATTGCTGAACAAAAGTAGCAATCTTGCAGATGATTCTTGAAGTAAACACTTATGGTACACTGAGACAGACAAAGGAGCCAGGGTCTGGGATACAGTATATACAAGTCCAAAAGACATAATGCAGAGTCAGACAGACATGCATTACAGCATTAGATAATAGTCTCTCATTTGGTACAAAGCAAACCTGCTTTATTTGAAATCCAAATGTTTACATTTCAGACACACACTTATTCAACAGCAGTCACCACAAACTTTTAGGTCATTTTATTATCAAAAGTGACAGAACACAAACACACATCAATAGATTCATTGTCTCCCTAAAAACATGCTACTATTTACATCAACTATTGTATACAGTACATGCTCAAGCTTATTGACAACTGCAGTGCATTGAAGCAAATAAAAGCAGTACTGTGACCACTTCTTCTCGTCCCTTTCTGCAGTCCATCATCTCATATTTGACACTACGCAAGGTCTCAACACTGCACTAATATTATTGTATTATTAAAACACTTAAATGAGGTGAAACACTGCAAGGCATGATACATGCTCCATTCTGCAGTTCTATTTGGTTCAAGCAATGGTTTGAGAGTGCTGTGTTAGTGACGCAAGAAGAAGCTACATTTTGATCTTCAACATTTTCTAAAATGTCCTACAGAAATTTCATTGAATTTATGTTTGTGTAATATGCTGGACAAAGCATATTCATAAAGTAATGTTTTATGATGATCAAAATAATGTTTAATACTTTAGAAATAAACATTTTTCTTAATTCGCTAAATATCAGGACATTCAAAACTCCAGCCCAATTATGTTTCCATTCTAATAATAAATCTTTCTCTCTAAAACAAAATAATGCCACAGTGAACTATATTTACAATTATTTATTTATCAAAGCGTCATTTCAGGAAAGGCACCCTGTCATACATTACATCCGTCTGGGGTCACAGCAAAAGTGGAAGCTAAATGCATAGACATGTCGTCAAGGCAAGACAAAGCAAGCAAACTCATCAAATAGACCTGACCCTTCTTTGCAGACCATGTGTTCTCAAATGTAAGCTGTAAATTGTGTTTCTTTCTGTGTTCATTCATTTAATTTAGGTTATTCTAATAGTTTCTGTTGCTTTGTATATATTCTGTTTTATTCATTTTTTTTTTTTTCTGGTGAGGAATGCACCCAATATACAGTTCTTGTATTGCAAGAAAGATCACACATTTAGCTTAATACACTAGTGGGCTCGGGGGTTATGCAGCGTTTTAGGGAAGCAAGTTAGCATGCTCTACAAACTAAACTAAAGCTATATTTCCAATGTAGTCTTTACCAAGACTTTCAATCAGTGTCAGCACCCTACGAATCAGTTTCTACGTTTCTTCAAAAAAAGAAAGATTTGAATTCTCCTGAGCCAGTCATGTGGAACTCAACAGCAGTCTTCCCAGCATACACTGAGGTATGTGAGGCGTACAAAGACCTGATGGACGTTACCATAAGCAGATATAATAAGATGTCTCTTTTTGCTGAGCAGGTTTCATGACACACTGGTCATGTATTTCATGCAGTGGAGTGGGGGTTCAGGGTACTGCAGTAGCAGGCGGCTGGTGAAATTCTTTACTTCTTAGCATTGAGTGCTGCCAGCTGACCGTCGATGTCCTCCTCGGGCTGTAACGCATGCCACTGTGCGATGGGCCTCCGGGGGTTGGCCAACATGTCAGACCAGTGCTTCAGACCTAACCCTGTGGCCTTGCTGCCCACAAAGATCTTCCCAATGGCATCGTTCTTACCGATTTTGTCATAATCGAACACTGTGACAACCACCAAGATTTTCTGTAGAGAGTAGAGAGTTTTACAATGCAAATAAATCTCAAAGAAAAAAATTTATATAATTTGGCCAAAAAGGAAGTGTATTGGCTTATTATTATCCTATGTCTCTGCCTTTTACCAATGTGTATGACTACCTGTCTCTCTTATGGTTGTCCTGCATTTAGGAGCAGGGTTCTCCCACTTATTTACAGAATGTTACACTTTTACACTGATGTGACATGATTTGTATGAAATATGAGATTTACATAGAAAACCTTTTTAGAGAAAGTGAGACGTTTTGGATGTACCAGCTTTCAGGGTTATTATTTATTATATATCTGTCCCACTCCATGTTGCGCTTTTTGTGTGTATATGTTGTACAGAATAGTACCTTGTAAGGTATGGTAATTCATATTATCCCACTTGGAAGATGTGGAAGGCTGGACCCTAACTGAGGAATTCTGGTAATCCTCTCAAAGTGGCTAGCCAGTTACTCACCGTGTCTGTTTTTTGTTTTTGCAACCCCCATCCAAACATAGCACATTCAATACCTGCATCTGTTCCAGTGGGATCTCAAAGCTGAATGATTCATTGTAGTACGGGTTTAAGGTGTTCTTCTTCACTGTGGTCTTCTTCTTCTTCAGTCGCTTGCCTCCCTGCAGCAGCTGGATCTTTACATATGGATCTGCAGGAAACCACATAGTAATTAGCCCTAAAGTCAAGTCAAATGTATTTATAAAGCACATTTAAAAAGAATTACAGCTGCCCAGAGTGCTGTACAAAGGCAATTGTAGATTGTAAAGTGTATCAAATTAAACATGCAAAAACACAATAAAACAAATCCAGAACATACAAAAAAGCCGTTATAAAAACATGGGCAATATTCTAATTTTAACAGCAGCATTTTGTTATTCTAGCTATGAATTACAATGATTCTGCCAGGTTTATACAGTCATTATAAATATCTGAACTTGGCTGAATTGAATTATAGGATTATATGTGAGTATGAAAATGAGCATGCGCAACATTAACTTGTTTTTCTCTTATATTCTGCATTTTATTGTTATTTTTTCATGTTTATTATTGCATTTTCCCTATGTTTGAATAGTTAATGAGTCAATGCTTCTTGTTAATTCATTCTGACAGACCGGATAAGGGCTGCTGGATTATGGCAAATATTTAATTTTGGATTATTTAGCTACTTCACAGTTAATCATCTTTACTGAAAACCAACTGTAACGAAAGTACATACTCATATTGTATATTTATGACAAATTTGTTTAAAAACTTATGTTTGGGCTGGGCAATTAATCAAATTAATTCAGATTAATTTGGATTTTTAATTATCAAGATTTAGAAAAATTAAAAAATCGTAAAATAGGGCATTATTCTGAAACAAGTTTACTTCTGACTTCCTTACTTACAATAAGCAGTTACAATTAACTATACAGTATATACAAATGTAACTGAAGGCACGTTACAATTCATTTAAATCATAGCATATGAAGAATGAAAATGTAAAAAGCTTCCAGTGTTTGAAAGACTAGCAGTCCTTGCTCTTACATCGATTAAAATCGATTAAAATCACAATCATCCAGGGTGTACTAAAAAGACATTCAGTTTTTTAACCAAATCGCCCAGCTCTCACCTGTGTAGATAATTTTTCATTTTGGCTTAACTCATTTTCAGGGTTAAGTTAAATTAAGGAATAAGAAAAGTGTCTTTGTTCCAGACGATAATGAATTCTATTTTAAATTACAAAATGTAGTGATTGAATAGAGTAATAAATGAAATTGCAATAATAAATTTGATCAATTGCACATCCCCACCTGACAATCCACAGGCATCCATCTTCTTCAGGTTCTTGGCCTCCAGGATACACACAGTAAGTTTGCCCGCGGTGGGGACATAACGAAGGGAGATGCAGATGTCTCCAAGTTTCTCAGGCTAAACAGTCAACAAAGGGACAGCTAAGAGACAGTGCACAATACAGACAGCATGCAGAGAGCTAAAGGACAAACAAATGCCAATGCGCATGATTAGCTAAAAGATTTCATTAACTATTTATCATAGTATACGTCAGCAAGTAACCAAGAACTTAAGTTTTTCCTCTACTTGCACAGAGCTGTATTTTTTATTTTCTATCTTATTAACTATTTCTAATGGTTATTTATCTAGATTAGATTAATTGTATATTTCTATTCTCCAGCTGTTCTTGAACTGTGCTTTGCAACACAGGAATTTACCTCATTGTGGGACAAACACAGATTCTCTTTTCTTATCATATCTGAGATAGTCTATAGACAAATAGTCATTTTTCTGTACAAAGAGGGTAACTTCATACAACTCTGAGATTTATATTATTCATATCCTGAGCTCAAACATACATACATAAATACATACATACATTGTACAATTTCTAAAATTCAGTTGGATTTTTCACCTCTTCCTGGTCAGCGCTCTCCAAGTCCCTCCACTCCTCGATAGGCCTGCCCAGGTCGATGGTGTTCATGGGCAGCTTGACCTCTCCAATCACGTCATGTTTGGAGAAGCGGTCATAGTCATAGACAGACATGCACAGAGTCTTCCCACCCAGCTCCTCATACGGAATCTGGGGAATACAGAGAGATAGATTAGTAATTCATAAAACATTTTTCATCTCTTTCTTACAGAAATACAAGTATGTAATGCTCCACTGTGCTGTAGTTGTTAAGGGAGCTATACGTAAGTGGTTGTGGGTTCACCTTCCGGTCTCTACACCAATCTTTCCCCATTTCAAAGGCTCTTCTGTTTAGTAAAGCCTACAGGCCAAAAATCTTCCAAAAATCAGATGGATAGCTCTTGTTAGTTGTTATGGAGGGAAGGACAGAAGCTTGACTGAAATGGTTTAGTCATTAGCAAAGGGGTGTTGAAAACAACATGGGAAAGGAATAGAAATAGGATCTAGCCGAAAGAGAGATGTTTTTTTTTTTACGAAGTCAGATGAAAAGTTGAAAACAAGACACTTCTGCAATTTGCACAATCTGCCAGCTAAAAGGAAATGTTATTTAAAAATGGATTGTGCAAACTAAAATGGTCAATAGAGATTTATATGCTGGCCCTATCTTCTATCTAAAGCATGACCTGGTGCTAGTTGGAATCCTCTAGAGGCCTAATTAAAAGAGGAGCAGAGTGTAGGCTGCAGCAGAAGACCAGCAGAGCACAGAACACGGTCAGTCATGTATGATATGGCTTCATACGTTTTAGAGACAAAATATCATAACAAAGTAAAAAGGAGCTAGTTGTCACACCTTAAATACAAATGTCTCATTGAAGACAGGGTTGAGTGTTTTTTTGTGGACTTTAGTGTCAAACTTCTTCTTCTTGTCAGGAAGCAGACACACTCGGACATAAGGATCGGAGGTCCCACCAGAGTCCATGGACATGAGGTCAGCAGCCTGTAGGATCCCGATGGTTAACTGGTGATGAGAAACAATACATGGAAAAATTAGTCTGTGTTAGTGCTATAAATGTAGAAATGGTCACCTGATTCAAACACGGAATTTAAATAACTTTCTAGGGAGTTTTTCATATTAAAACTAACTAAACTAAACAACACACATTTGTCTGGATGCATTCCGGTGGAATATTTGGTACCTTTGTGTTCTCAAAGTCATAGTCAATGGAGTACTGCAGTTTCCCCAGAGGCTCCTGCTCCTTCTCCTCTTCCTCCTTTTCCTCCTCTGTCAGTCCAGTCTCTCCCTCATCTTCATCGTCATCCTGGTGTTTCTGTGTAAATAAAAACACTCTTCAATGAGGAGTGTATTACATGGGCCTGGACACGGGCTCCCCATAACAGACAGCATGCCACAGACACAACAGCACCAGTTTCTACTGGTTAAAGCTTACCTGTGCAGCACCTGGTGGTATGTTACATCAACACACTACCCCACAAAAATCTCAGCCTTACATTTGTAATACATAGTCTTTATACATATTTTCAGGTGTATCTTTATTATTATTTATTCTGGGCATTTCCGTCAACATGCTTGTGCAATACAGTAACAGCCAGTAAGTACATGCTATAGTTGCACTAAGAGGGGTCAAAATGCAAACTGGTTTAAGTCTGAGTTGAATTCATAAAAATGTGAATTGCCCAAATGACTTTCATTTTGGCTTATAGAGGTCAAATAAATTATTGGAGTAAGATAATAACTTAAGCTAAAATGTATTCGCACACTTGATAGGTAAGTCATTCAGCTATGATCAGTCATGCCTTTTCTCCATTTTCTGGCACAAATATATTCCTCTTTCTGCTCATGATTTTTACAACAAATGGTTCAAGATTAAAGGGCATTTCTATCTTTTTGAAACATGCTGAGCAATATTGCAGCTTACTATTAGCCATTAGCCATCAGCCATTAAAAGATTTGTCCCAAGATTTTCCAGGAAAGATTGTGTAACTTTGGTTCGTATATTTTGGTCCATTATTCCAAACAGCTAGTCATGCCCATAATCTCATGCAAATATTAATAGTGTTAAAGTGTCTTGCATTGTATGTCTTTGTATCCAATACATTCCATATTGGGGTTTTACTCTGACATTGTCCCAGGACAATGTATCAGATAGTTAGTTTCTCCTCTCTGGTGGGTTTATGGAGCACATCATAGCTTTCCATTTTCATTACTCAAGATACATCATAACAAAATCAAATTGTGGATAAAGGTAAAACTCAAAATAAAAGCCAAGGAAGCTACGAGTTTCATTCCATCAAACCCTTCTCCGGCCCAGAGGGGCCAGAGGGCAGTGGGGGCACTCCACCTACCGTGTAGAGTGGTCATCCGGCAACAGTGAAAACACGAGGCACACACAAGACAGACACAGAGCAGGGGAGAAGAGGAGAGCAGAGAGAGGGAGAGATTCAACTCACAAGACTCCACTACAAACGGTGAACACAGCAGCACCAGCCGGCTGAAAAATGACACGTTTCACATGCTCCCAACAATAAGTCACAGTCTGCACCAGAACACATCGATTTCATTAACTGCTGCTTCGGCCCCTCCATGTTGATGTTAGCTGATGAGGCTGCAAATTAATCCCCAAGGGTTTTTTATGTCAGGGCTTAGACAAAAGGTTTAGGTGACACTTCTTAACGTGACAGAAAAGGCAAAATAAACCGTAGCAATTTACAGCAAGTTATAACCAGCCTTTGTTATCTAAACAGACCTTTTTCATAATGGCCAGAAGTGCTGTGGGGTTACGGAACTTCTGGTTAATGCTTTTCTATGGCAAAATGTCTGTGTAAATGTCTCACGTATTCTCCACCAAGTGTAATAAATCTGCCTGGCCCGTCACCAAATCTTCAACCAGCAAAGTTGAGAGGGGACATAAATTCTTCCATGAAGAATTCATCCACAACTATCAAGGTAAAGAGAGATGAAAGCTTAAAGGCAAACAACATTAGTGAACTACTCCTGAGCAAAACTAACGTTATGGTCATGAATAAAACATAAGTAACTTGTTAACTCAGACTGATTCTAGAATTAAAATTAAAAATCTATTTCATGATATAAATATTAGCATAGATATACATTTATGCAGTTTAACTTACGTTATTCATGACCATAAAGTTAGTTTAGCTCAGAAGTAGTTCACTAATGCTGGTCGTCCTTAGCTTTTAAACTTTCATCTTTCTTACCTTGATAGTTGTGAATAAATTCTTCATGGGACAATTCATGCCCTTTGTCAACCTTTTTGGTTTTGGATTTGGTGATGGGGCAGGCAGATTTATTAAGCTGGTGGAGAATATGCAAGGTATTTCCTCAGACATTTTGCCATAGAAAAGCATTAACCAGAACTTCTGCAACCCTACAGTGCTGCACTTCCGGCCCTTGTGAAAAAGGTCTATTAATACAAAATATGAGCAAAACCTCAAAAATCTAAATTTGCTCTCATGGTCTCATCCATTATGTTTAATTATAAAATGCAGGAGAATGAAGTCACTTTATTCGGCTCATTATTCATTGCCAGCTGGTTGAAAAGCGTGTCATTTTTCACCTGGGGCCACAATGGAATACGTCACACAGATAAACCACAACCAGCACTACCACAACAACAAGAAGATGGAGGGAATACAGCTCTCCTTGTGTCCTTCACGGTTCAGCCTAAAAGAGTGGCTGCTGCTGAAAGATCAAACCAGGTTAATAATACAGAACCATATGCTGTAGTGAAAGTTATTGTGTTTGTGGTAGTCCATGGCAGAGTCCTACCTCACCACCCTGCATGTTCTTCATGTTCATGCCATCTTTGCCCTTCTTGCCTTTCTTCTTCTTCTTTTTGCAGCATTTCTTGATGATGCAGAAGCAGCAGGTGAGGATGAGCAGAGCAGCTACCACGGCGATAGCAATCAGAGCCCAAGGAGGTACTGAAAGAGTAAGCATAAAGTGTAATTTTGTTTAGAGCAGTGATTCCCAAGCTTTACACCTAAGATAATATTTGTTTTTTCAAGTACCACCAGATCTAAACCCAACTCCAACCAGACCTAAATCATGAAAAGATATGGTCTAGAATTTTCTTTATTTATATTTCTCTAAATAAAACAAATATTCACATTGCAAAGTTCCCCACATACAACAGAAACACTTGTGTATTAATACAATATAAACTAAGTACTTTATTTTTCCTTTGTATTAAATAATTGAAAAATATGGTCTCACATTAACGTACATGGGATTTTATCAATTTCATTCATAAATTTGGTCTTGATTTCTTCAAACATGTCATTCTTGCTGATCTCAGTGTTGTTGGAGCCCGGGCTGGCCTCTGCTGTGGTGGAAATGACTCCTGGAGTGGGAGGGGCCATGGTCTGTGTGGTGGTCCCAGTGGGCTCCGGGGCCGCCACCGCCTGGGGCTTCCTGAACAGGTTAAACTTCATTGTCACAAGCTAGGCTCTGTCTCCCTGAAAAGATAGAAAAGACAGAATTTTACAAGTTATAATAAAATCCCTTTTTTCTTTACAAAAACACCCCAAAACATTATGACATCTCATTAGTTCTCACAAACTAGAGACCCAATTACTGTTCTGTGTGTCTTAAAAACAAACCGAAACTGACAAACGAACTGTCAGCAGGAGCAAAACAAAATTGAAATAAATGTCATGTAACAAATGCAATTAGCAGCTTCATTTTCTAAAAGCCAAAAAAGCAGAAGTTAGGATTAGGGCTGTGCAATGCATCACATTTATGGAGATGGAGGATTCAGTCATTTCGAATCGTCAATGTCAATGATAAGTTTGATCTTTTTAATTTAGAGGTCTACAACTAATCCTTGGTCAATAAAACGACTTTAGAAGAAAGTGAAAGTGATAAATATATATATGTATATGTTTGTTTTGTTTTTTTTATGTTGTTTAATGACAATTCTTCAAAGTCTGTATTGTTTATATTCAGTAAATTAATGTTAATTTATTAAATAACTAAATCAAATCTAATAAAAATCATGGTCAATCAGTAAAAGGGTAAAACAAATGTGATAGATTTTTTGTGATATTGGCCAACCTTCATTAGGATCATAGTGAGGTAAGGCAAATGAGAGAGCAAGGCAAATGAGATCAGTTCATATAGTAAAATACAGTTTTCTAATTTCCAATAGTTAAAAAAAAACAACATACATTTACCAAAACCGAATGACATAATCACAGTTATCTAGTATGAGCTTAACTAAAACACAAACAAGTGAAAACCCCAGTATAGTTTCAGTAAAAAAAAATCTTACAATGAAAAACGTAGTGATTTTTTGGAGACACCAGAGCCATGACAGTAGGCAAGAACTAATCCACTTTGTTGAGAATTTACAGCACAGAGGGACAGATATGACAAATGTGCCTGAATAGAAGGAGACTTGGGCAGAGACCGTTTTATCCCATTGCAGAGATAAAGATGACTGTGTTTAAGAGTCATCTCTTTGTATGGCCCTTTAAATTGACTTAGCTTAAATGAACTTCTCAGGCACAATATGCTAAATATCATATCTATTTTATGATCTGATTAAGTTGGTTGTTACATTTTTCATGTTGACAGTGTAGCTGTGACTCCAAGTAGAGAGCACAGAAGAAGGATTGAAGGATTTGCCAAAACATAGCTTATCCAAGAAATAAAAAATATACAAGACTGATTTGCATGCATTTGAAGAGAGAATCAGAGTGAACATACTTGAAATGAGTTTCAGACCATGAAGCTGAAATCTGCCCATAGTTTTCCAGGGGGCCGCTGCTTGATTTTAATTACAGTTACTCTTATTCCATTTATCTGACTACTACTTCCTACTGTTTATCGCATTCATTAAATCTTGCATTCGTTCAGTCCAGCCTTCCTGTACCTGACTGTGAGCTTTATGGCTGGGTATTATTAAAAAGTTGCCGATACGATACATACCTCGATACATTTCGATACACTGCACTTTCGATTCGATACGATATATTTCAAAACGATTCGATACAGTTCAATAAAAAATAAAGGCTAAATCATGGCTGTGATACTAAAAGTCTTAGTTACCACTTCTTGTGCAAAAGTTCATGTGAAACACAAACATTTTAATCATCAAAACTGTAAAAATGTCAAATGTGTCGCATAAACGAGTTTCTTTCCTCTGAACAAGCAACAAAACTGTAGCACAAAATAAAAATAATTTAGTAAAATATACCAATATTATATATAAGATATCGATATATCTTGGCGATATATCGATACAGCAGCCAACAATATCGATACTGTGTCATCTCATTAAACGATACGATATATCGATATTTCAATATTTTTGCACACCTCTAGTGAGCTTGGCCACTCTGTTTTCAGTGAATTATTCATTGGCATATATTTAATACAAAGGATTACAAACACAAAGACCAGTGTACCATCTACTACACCTTCAGGAGTGCAAGAATACAACAACTAATGAGCCACCAAAGTCAGCATGTGTTTGTGCAGACGTGGGAGGGATTCAAAGATTTATTCCATCGTCTTCGAACTGTTTCCATTTCTGTCTAAATGAGCAGACCACCAGAGAGAAACTAGCATTTCACACACACGTCATGCACTCAATAGAATTTCTCTAGTGATCCCACTAAAGACACCACGTGAGCAACAGACCTGCACAGCCACTTTCAACAGCAAGACTACTGCCAATTCACATGCATTCCTACAGGTGTGTGCTGCCTGGTGTCAATTGGTAAGATTGATGGGCAAATGTAACCAATTCACAAAGCACAGGTCTGTGTGATGTACTCAGAGATAGGATTGTTGCTAGGCGATTCAGATAGTGTCAAACTGCAATCCAGTGTTAGCCAAAGCGGCATATAGTCAGTCCAGTCGAATTGGACCAAGGCCAGAGTCAAGTCACGGCAAGGAGCAAAGATCTGAAAAGGAATGATCTGCAATACTTTTCAGTCATAGAGATTGTAATAACATAAAAGGAAAAATTATTAGTAACATTGCACAGGTAAATTTCATTATTATAATTGTTCTGTGAGCCAAAGCAACTGCTCTAATTCCCTCAATGGAAATCTCAACATCAGCCTTAACCACAAATGATATTCATACTTACTTATCCAATTGCATATACACATACACGCAAACAGCAATAGCCACAATGACATTGATCCAATATAATCCTATATGATCCATCACCTTCTTTCTGTTTTAATTCATTCAGTAAATAATATTATATTCAGCTCATTGGAACATCAGTGAAAGCATCTCTGCATAACAAACACATGAAAAAGAGACATTCAAGATATTGTCTTAAGTAATTATATATAGAGAATCACTTGTCAATCACTTTGAGTACACAGAGCTGTACAGATGGGTATCTGTATTGTCTGTATGATCATATCTGCTTTATGTAATCTAACATGCGTCATTCATGGAACAACTCACCAGTCAGATCTGGTGCCCCCCTCCCTTGTCAGCAGCTGTCCCATCCAATATCGAGTCTAACTGTGGGGACACCGGCTCCCGTTGGTAGCGCCGGTAACACAGTGCGATTCCTCCCATAAGCAGCAGACTGCAGTCTCCGCTCACTTCTCTCACCACTGCAGCACTAGACACCCCCACCCCTCTCTCTCTCCTCTCCCTCCCCTGCCCCCCCCCCCCCCCAACACACACACACTCTCCCCCTGTCTCTCATTCACCCCCCCCTCCCTTCTCCACATCCACACACCTCCCTCCTCAGCTCCTCCTGTATAGTCATGCACACGGTACACCTCTTGCCTCTCATTGCTAATGCTACTCACACATGTGATTGCAGCGCGATGCTTCTTGGGTTTTAGCATTAGCCGGATCAATAGCAAATGGTCTGTGAATAAATGTACAGTTTGCATAGACTGTTGTAGATTGCAAAGGAAAAGAAAAGTCTCCTCTGTGAGCTGAATCCAAATAGAAGCTTGTAAAAATTAATTGGATTCCAACAATTGATCCGAGAACTAGGGTATAACTCTCAAGAGAGGTTCATGGCTTATTAAAAGTGTTCAATAGAAAGGAAGCTGTGATCTGATGAACTTGGCCAGTCTTGAACTTATTTTTCAATAACTACATCAAAGATACAGATACATTTTATCCATGTATCATTTATAAACCCAATATATGGTGTGCTCCATAATACCCCATTCAAGTTGGTACATAATAAGAACTCTTAACAGAGTGACAGAAGCAACCTTACAGTTGTGACTTAATAATACATTTTCTCAATTTCAACAGCCAATATTTACTTAAGAGGGCCCTTAAAGAGGGTGAGTAGTATAATACTACTCAAACTAAGCATAATACTGTATATAGCAGGGCACTGAGCAATTAGCACCTGTAGCATACAGCATGAAAATGCTGTATATATAGCAGCTGTGTCCCTTCTCATCTGCCAGGTAACCTAGCAACACAGTGAGAAATAGTAAGCAAATAAATACATATTAAATAAATATTTATGTTTGTACACTTACTCCATCAGAATGATCAAAATTCAAGAATTGGGCTTTGGAGGCAAAAGTGATTAGCTTTGATTAACAAAGAGATCAATTATTTAACTTGATCTAAATACAACTAATTAAATTTGAGGTATTTTCTTACATCTTGTCCTGATGGCTTCATCAAGTCAAGACGCTCGGGAACTGAGATTGACAGATGGATTTGTACAGCATCAGCAATGATGTGGGTGCTCCACCAAACTGTTGTGGTAAAGAAGGAGCTGAGTCGGAAGGCAAAGCTCTCAATTTACCAGTCATTCTACATTCCTACTCTCATCTATGGTCAAGAGCTTAGGGTAATGACCAATACAAGCTATTGAAATGAGTTTCCTCCACAGGGTGACTGAGTGCTCCTTTAGAGATAGGGTGAGGAGCTCAGTCACAGGGAGGAGCTTGGTACAGAGCTGCTGTTCCACAATGAGAGGAACCAGTTGAGGTGGCTCAGGCATCTGTTCCGGATGCTTCCTGGAAAAGTGTTCCAAGCATGTCCCACCGGGAGGAGGCCCCAGGGAAGACCGAAGGCACGCTGAAGGGACTATGTCTCTACTTGGGGTCCCACCAGAGGAGCTGGAGGAAGTGCCTGAGGTGAGGGAAGTCTGGGCTTAAAAGTCAACACTAACTTGTAAGATAATTTACATTTTGACTGTATGTCTTAAAGTATCTCATAAAACCATATTTGTCAGATAAATACAGATAATCATGATAACCACTCTGCGCTGACAAGACACTTAACTGAGGGAGCTTTTTAATGCAAGGTCACTACACAGCTGCAACATCAGAGCACACGCTGGAGGGTTTTGGCTCCCAGTGAGGCTCCTGGTGCATTCTGGGAAACCACTCTGACATTAATGAGGAAGACCCCTCTCTCTGCACTTTGAGCATGTCCCAGGACAATGATGAAACAATGACCAATGACTGAAGTC